AATATATCAACCTTTAGTCAAAATATCAAATGGCCTGAACGACAACAAAAGAAAAAAAATGGCTTGGCACGGAACGTGTTGAAAAAGACTATTTTGCGAGAGAAAATTTAATTTTATTCTCTAATTATTTGTTTATTAAATCTTGCCATGGACAAATTATTTTTCGACAAATGATCATTAGAATCTCGTGCTACAACCACTATGCTACAACTTTCGTTTGTTCGAGAGCGATGCGTTAGAATAGGAGAGTGAATGGCAACGGGGTTTTCAATCGTTCCAGATCATCACCAGCGGCGGCGTGACGTATAAGAACGAGCCGTGGCACAGGGACTGCTTCACCTGCAGCAACTGCAACAATTCACTGGCTGGCCAGCGATTCACGTCTCGCAACGACAAGCCCTACTGCGCCGAGTGCTTCGGAGAACTGTTCGCCAAGAGATGCACCGCCTGCTCTAAACCGATCACTGGTACCCTATCGCTCGATCCTCTCGCAGAGACACTCGTCTCCCATCCTCTTAATATGCAATGCGCCAGTTCTGAACGATCCGTGGCTTTTTACGACACAAATTCTGAAATACTGGTCGAGCAACTGCCTCGACATACGTAATTCGACTATATGCAACTTAGAATTATAACAATGTGTACCACTTTTATGGTACAAATAATAATCAGTCGTTCAGAATTGACGATTAAAGGATTACGTGTATCTCTGTGATTTAGAATAGATTACACATCTTGCAGGATAACTCGAGATTAGATATCCAAACACTCGACGTATAATTTTGTCACGATTAATGAAAGAAATTTTGGAATTTACGTATCTATTGGAATGGACGGAGAAGAAAAGTATCCAAGATTGGCAAGGAAATGTACACTCTGAAAGAGTTGTGACGTTCGTTTCAGGCATTGGCGGCACCCGCTTCATCTCCTTCGAGGACAGGCATTGGCACAACGATTGTTTCATCTGCGCGGGTTGCAAGACCTCGCTGGTCGGCCGCGGGTTCATCACCGACGGCGAGGACATCATCTGCCCCGATTGCGCCAAGATGAAGGTGATGTAAAGGAGAGAACATCGAACAAAAAAGAAGAAGAAGGAGAAGAAGAAGAACGAACGAACGAGAAAAAGGGGAGAGGGAAAAGGAGTAAGGAGACGAGAATTATATCAAAAAGGCCTAACACGGTGTTGTCCAGTCTGTACACGTGGAAATAATAATATCCTCGCTGAGAGAAGTTTCCCCTTGGAAACAACTGGCAGATGCGGAAGATCTCCGCTTCGAGAAGAGAATGAAACGAAGAAGAATCACCGTCCCTCGAACGGGGCGACGTCGCGGATAAAAATTACCGTGTTTCTCTCTGTCTCTCTTTCTCTCTTTCTCTTTTACCTCTGATTATATTTTCAGAAATATGAAAGATCGCGTATGTACAAATGTATAAATTGTATTGTGCGTACGCGTGACCGCAACCAGAGGGAAACGCGGTGCTTTTTACACCATCCCGCGACGATTTTTTTCTTTTTTTTTTTTTTTTTTTTTTTTTTTTTCTTCCTCGAAAGTTTCCTCGGTTCTTCTCGATCGGCTCGGGAGTCAACGTACCGAGCTTTTCTCGTCGAGGCAGATTTTCTCGAAGCAGAGGGGACGCGAGCAGACAGACACACGACGAGGGTACTTCCTAGCTTCGTAGTTTTTAGAGGCCATTTTTAGTCACTTGCGATTGTGATTTCGATTTCTCCTTTGGCGCGCGGTCGCGAGTCGAGCGGCTGAGGAGGAGTACGCCTTTTGAAAAAGATGTTACGAGAATCAAAACCGCCTTAACGTTATAGTTAATAACTGTCGTCCGGTTGTTGTTAGAAATGTTGAACGAAGTGCTGCGTAGCTGTCGTGGCGTTGTTAACGTTGTTGTTCTTTTTTCTTTTCGCTTTACGCAACGATGCGAGAAACAAGCGACGCGCGGGGACCAGCGTCAAACAGTCAAAGTAAAACGAAGGGGAAAAGAATGGAAGAACAGAACACGTATCCTATATATTCTTACGGAACTAAATTTGATAATAATGTTATTTTTATTTAACTGAAAGCTCACACACGCGACACACAAAGCCCAACACGTGCGACAAAAACTACACCCTTTTCTCTCCCTTTCTCTCTCTTTCTGTCTCTCTGTATCTATCTATCTATCTATCTATCTATCTATCTTTATTCATCGTTCCGCGATATTGCAGAGTAACACGCTCGTGCGAAATTACAAGTATAACGAACGACTAGATCAAACGACTCAAAGGCTCGAGACTCCCATATGTAATTGCTCCAAAGGAAATACGAAATTTTGTCAAATTCAAACGTTCTTCCGGGAATTTTCGAAATTCTACGTTTTCTTTTTTTTTTTTCTTTTTTTTTTCGTAACTATATCCGACAGCTTTCCTATCTTGACTCTTGTACGATATTAACTTCATGCGAGCCGACGCAAGTACGGCGGCATTCGCGAGTGCGTGGACGTGCGAATTTCAACTGCGACCGGCCATCCTGCTCGATCGTGTCGCATCTTCTTTTTTCTCGAACAGGAGAGCTGGCAGCAATTGAAACGATCTTGCCATCTCGCGTATCCGCGAGCACTTGACCGCTCGAACCGGGGCAGCGGGGGGGGGGGAGGAGGAGAAGTGATAAAATAATTACAAAAACAACAAGAACAAAGAGAAGGAGGATTCACAATACACACGCATTCACGATACACGCATGCCGAACGAGTGTGCGACACGCACACGCGGAGAAATACACTAATTGTGGTGCCTTATCCGCACGAGTACATAGAAATAAGAGAGAGAACAAAAGAAAAAGAAAAAGAAAAAAAAAAAAGAGAAACTAACGTTTTGCGAAAGATAATTAGTTTGTTGAATGCGGTAGAGACGTGTCACCGTCGAGAAGAGAAAGAACGAACGTGCAACAGAGATGTGGGCTAACAAACGGGACTAACGAAACGAAAGATGAGAAGGATGAGGAGAAGCAGCAGTAAAAAAAAAAAAAAAAACAAAAAGAAAAGAAAAGAAAAGAATAAGAAAGAAAAGAGGATATCGCGACGACCAATAAAAAGTACACGTGCTATATAATATATGT